CCCTAAACTCCTTAAACCCTAACCCATAAACCATCAACCCTAATCCCTAAACCCCTTAAACCCCAATCCATAAACCTTCAACCCTAATCCCTAAACCCCTTAAACCCTAACCCCTAAACCTTCAACCTTCAAAACCTTCACGGACGGACGCTGCAGGCTGAAATCCTGTTTCGCCCCCGCTCCGGGCCCGATTCTCGTCTCGGGACAGGGGTTTTATAGGGATTTTAGAGGGGTTATATTGGGGTTACTGAATTCCTCAAATGGGTTATATAGGGGATTGTAAGGGGTACTACTATAATGGTTATTAAGGGGGATACTAGGACTTAGACAATGGCTCATAAAGGGATAATGGTACAGAAAATAGAAACGACTATAGTGTAGTATCCCTAACAAGGGGTTGTATGGGGATTCTATAGGGTGAGGAGATAATGTAAAAGTTTAATTCATTACCAATACTGTGGCAATTAGGGTTTAGGGTTTAGCGATATTACCCCAATTAGGGGCTTGTGATATTGCCCTAAAGAGAGGAGAATCATTTGGAAAACAATGAAGATGAACTGGAAACTGGAGTTTTCTGGTATAGAGATAAGCGTAATTAAGAGGCGTTCATGGCATGCCTTTAGAGGAATGTAGTGGAAGCCCGAATAATTCTTGACGCCGTCCATTCGTTATCCTTGTACACACTCCCGATTCTATTATAATGCAGTATGCCCGTGCAGGAAAGTTGTGCGAGTGAGGCCTCGCAGACTTTTCACCTAACGTGGCAGAAACGTACTTGACATTTTCGGAGCCTGAACCACCAGAGCTCATCCTTAGGAAAAAGTGACAACAATAGAGACATCTACACACAGATGTTTGTCTGTCCATCGATCCATCTATCTATCCACCTATCTACACCATGATTCCCCTCAAAGTCCTTGTCAACATTTTGTAGGCCATGCTAGGCTGTGTCAGCGGATGCTGAACAGTTCAGTAGGTTAGGGTTTGCTACTGTGAGCTGAATTTCTGCAAGTTGCATCGTTCCGGCCAAAGCTGCGATGCCTGGAGGTAGCTCCTTCAATTGGAGCTGACACGAGTGCGGTATTCCTTAAATGTCCTGCAGCTGCGAAGCTGTTCAGAAATTCCTATGAGGATTTGAGGGGAAAGTCGCCGTCTCCCATACCCTAAAGTACTTCCATCCTTGTTCTGGGGACTCCCCGACAAGGGCCCCCACTTCTTTGAATGCCTTGGCCCGTTCATCAGGCTCTGGCGACTTCGAGATTTTTTCGAGGCAGGGTTGAGGTGTCTGCCTTGCGGAGTGAGTCTTGTACCGTATCCTACATGTATTTTTCTGCAGCTTCTTAAGCGGCCGACGCAGGCGGCGCCGGTCGCAAAGGAGCCAGTGAACATGATTCTCCATGCAGCTCTAACGGCCCGAGTCTCTACTCTGCAGGGTGGTCATTGCGTGCTGGTGTAGCTACTCGCCATGGCCCACGCACAGGCAAAGGATGTCGAGGACACAAGGGATCAGGGCGGAATTAAAGGGCTTGTAGAGGGAGTTGTACTGCAACACTTCCTTGGTGCCTTGCTTGACCGCGTTGCGAAGGACGCGAAGGACGTCCTAAAGTTCACGAGGATGTGCAAGTATTGGAAAGCCAATCGCTGCCACCTTGGTTCTTCGTGTCTTGAGTCGATTTGGAAACAGTTTCTGTGGCTTTGTATATCATGTTGCTACCTATAAGCCCATGGTATACGCCTGAAGGCCAGAAGCTTATATGGAGTATCCAACTCAGCCTCATAGGTGTAGCTTCGCCCACTCCGAGATGCAACTGAGAGAGCAGCCAGACTTGGTAGCTACTCAGCTATGCTATCAGTTCACTCGGAAGGGTCATTGCAAGAACGGAGACACATGCAAATTCGCTCACGGACGTTCAGAGCTTCGACGCCTCCCGAAGACAACGGCCGAGAAGCCTCTTAAGCAAGAAGGCCAACAAGAAAGCTCCACCATCCCTCTTACGCACGGGAGCGTTGAGACCAGTCATGATGCCCCCATGCTGGCATCCATTGACCAGGCCTTCAACGCCTTGAGCCTCCAAGATTTCCGAGAACCCCCTGGCCTGGAGAGAGAGGCGCCTGGAGCAAGCAAACCAATGACGATGTCCGTGGCCAGCTTGCAAAGCACACTGCGCAACGCTGTCGAGCACGGCCAAGACACCCTCGCCAACCTTCCGCTCACTCTGCATAAAAGGGTTTTGCGCAAGAGCGTCAGCCGGGAGACAGAGGGAACCGACAGCACATCATCCTGGTTGAGCGGAGGCTAAGCTGAGCTTGGAAATCTTGATGGCTTTGGTATGGGCAACATTGCACACAGACAATCTACACTTTGCATTTCTTGCACCTACTTGTTCATTGTCATTGTTGTCATTCTCCTTGGTGGCTATTAATTTTAGATCTGTTTATTGCTTGTTCCTCGCCTGAGCACGACTTGTCCCCAGTTTTTCCTCTTAGCTCATCATCTCGCTGGTGAAACTGCTGCAGCAGCGACTCTACCTGCGAACCCAACTCATAAAGGCCTTAAAGGTCCCCACAGTGGAAGTGTAAGGATATCCGTCGGAAAGCGAGCCGGCCAGTCCGACGAGCGTGTCCTTCTGGTTGTGAGCCATGCGATGGTGTAAGCAGCGACTTACATGAAACAGGGGCAAAGGAGAACCGCTCTAGATGTACGGAGTAATTAGGGATCCTTTTGCACGGACATCCATCTTTCTGTGTGTAGATGTATCAGCAGGGAGTCATCTTGCCCCTACAGTCATGCACGGTATGCCTTGCGGTGATTTTGCGGTTGGACTTTTGGGGTAGTCCACTTGTCATGCTGTCCCACAGAATCTGAACTAGCATTTCTGCATCATGGTGATTCAGTAGGGAACAGGGATTGGGATACCTATAGCGGCCCATAGTCTCGGGGTGTACAGAAACCAACTTTTGTGAACTTTTATTTGCTGCTTACGATAGATCCTCACAAACAGCCGACTTATTTGTAATGGAGGGCTCCAGGATAGACATAGGAGTTGTCCCTACATAATCCCCAATATCCCATCCTTTTTATTCCCTCCGTAAGCCCCTAAACCCCAAACCCCTAAACCCTAAACCCGTAAAAGTCCTTTGGCCTCCAAAAAAACCTAAACGCCAAAGGCCTAAACCCTAAACCTATCTCCTTCTGACTGCCACTACGTCAGGTGAGGAGGTTCAGCTCTTGACTTTCCATTGCCATTTCACACGAGCCCGTGGCATGATTCAGAAGTTGTTTTTGCTCCTTGGGTACCGTCTGACGGTTGCACAATAGCCATAATTCAGTTACATATTATAGCCCTTCATAGAAAACCCTCATGATAGACGATTACTGGGCGAGTACAGTACCCAAATTGTTCCCGTTCGATGGAAAGGAGTGCCAGGTTATCCCTCCAGAATGAAGACTCCAGAGCCTTGCTCAAGAGGTCAAAATTGAAGTCTTAAAACCCCAACCCTACAACCTCAAACCGGCCCTAAACCTTAGCCCTAAAACCTCGAACCGGCTCCAAACTTAAACCCTACAACCATAAAACCCCCCTATAGTAGATAGAATAAGGGTATATGGGGATCTTATTGTAATATACCCAAAGCCATATTCTATGTACTTAAGGGGTACTATAAACCCTAAACCCTAAATAGTAGTGTCCATTTTCTTTTCCATTATCCCTACATGTACCCCTAATATTCCATCTACTTAAGGGGGACTATAAGTCTTGCGTTGCAGGACCTGCAGATGTGGAATGCCCGGGTGGAGCTCCGGGATAAAGTTTGAGATGCCATGTGGGCAACTTTGGAATGTAGTGGGGTGAAATATTACTCCGAGGTCACAAGAGCCATAGTCTAAACTCCTTAAGGGGTGGCATATAGAGGAATACTATGGGGGTTGTGAAGGGGGATATTAGAGGAGTGTAGACTATGGCCCTCATTTTGCGTGTTTGATTCTCCTGCAGCCTTGTTTTTCCCAGCGTCATCTTCGGCTTCCGCCCTCCGTAGAAAGTCATCCGTGCTCATGAACTCTCGCCAGCCTCTTAGGACCCATGAGCACTTTGTTTTCATGTCAAGCGTGGGGGGGAAGATCCTCGGCGCAACAGGGCATCCGGGACCTGATCTCGTGAAGTGGAGGTTCTCTTTGGTTCAGCCACCGGCTGGTGGATTTTTGCGACCAACACTGGGTCACTAGGAATCATTGTGATCTCCCTTTGGCAGAACCTCCACTAACTACAATCCACAACTTGAGCCGCCTTGAAACTTCGCAATTGATTGGAGCCGGTAGCATGCCGCGCTCCATAGGACGCTACCAAGCAGGTTTCTCAAACTTAACAGTCCCTTTTGGGGGGCTGTGTGAGGAACCACAGTCCGGAGAATTACCCGCCCACGTTGCCATGCTTTGCCGCAGAAGAATGGCCATTTGACTAAAGGAGTAATGAAAAGCTAGTGCAGCAGCCCAAACTCCTTACTTACCTGAGATCTAAATTGCTGGCGTGCAACTTCTGTGGCAAGCATTGGATGACTCCGGACTTTTTTGAGACTAATCTATACTCAGAAGCAACTCACGGGCGCACCGCCACGAAGTTTCCGTGGAAAGTACTTAAGCATGTTTGTTTCTTCACAAAGCATTCCCCGTCCGAAGTGGTTGCGGTGCGCCCCCAACAGGATCGAACTGGCACGTCGCCCGGCTGTGCATCAGCCAAACATGACTTGCAAAAACTGGTCTTGCAGGGCTGGGGTGTGTAGAATGATACAAGTGGCACCAAAGTATCTACAGCTGAGGATTTTCATGAATCAAGGGCTGCAACATAACGCCAGTTTCTTGTAGGGACGACCTACCACGGGTGCTGATAGTTTTTGGAAATCCCCACCTGCATACGTAAAAACGCACTTTGTCCCGGCAAGATCTGACTAAACGGACTTCGGGATTGAAGGGATAAAGTCTCTCTTAACTGTAGGACGGGCACTTAAAGATACTTAAAGGATACGTGGCGATTTTCTGCCAGAATCCCTGTAACAGTCTAAATACCTTACAGCCTTATGCCGCAGGAGGTGCCGTTGGACCGCTTAATTTTCTCAAGTGATGGTAGGACCCAAATATATGAGCTATAGTCTACATGCCTGGTATCCCCGCTAATAACCCCTATAAGATTTTCCTATACAATCCCCTATATAGCCCCCTTAAAGAAGTTTAGACGATGGCTCATATAGCCACATGGCAGTCACAGGATCCCAATTCTGGGGGTTGGTGTGATCAAAGTCCTCTTTTGGCAGTATCCAAAATAGACCCTAGACTTGCAAGCCTTGCCACCAACCCTAGAAGAGATGATGCTAAGCCAAGGCCTAGGAAAGGAGGGCTTGGGATCAGGATTATGACCAGATTCTACCCTATAGTCCCCATGAATAAGCCCATGCCCCCAGAAGTTAACCCCCCCCCCACCTCCTGAGCATACCTGGTGACAGCCCATGGAAACATGTTCAATATCAGGAGGTATAGGGGGGTGTTTAGTTTCAGGTGCTGAAGTCTAGGGGGGTAATCATTATTGTAGACTGCACTAGACTTGCGAGAAGCCCAAGCCAGGAATTTCTTGTTGGTGTCTCTAGGTCACCTGATAGGGAATTAGCTACAAGTATCGAAAGTTATCTATCACATGAGGAAATTCCTGGGTGTATGATTCCTGAACCCTAAACCCTGACACCTAAACCCTAAGAACCCCACAACCCCAAACCCTGAACCCCGAATAGCCTTGTGGTCTCCATCCCCTCAACCCCAAACCCCAGATAGTAGTTTCCGTTTCCTGCTTCGCTAGACCCTAGACCCCAAACAGTAGCCTCCATATTCTTATCCATTCCTCCATTTCCGACTAATAACCCGTAAGTCAAGCTTAAACCCATTAATGCAAACCCCTCAGTTTGCATGTCATCGTCCATTTCATTTTACGTTCTTGGGCCAATAGCCCCCTAAACCCCCTAACAAGCAGCCAGTCCGGCTTGCGATGCATTGAAGAGATGGAGAGGGCATATGGAAACTACTAGTGGGCGTTTAGGGTTTGGGGAATGGAAAGCAAATCCGTGGAGATTATGCAGAGGCTTGTGTCGGGATCCATTCCTCCATTCCCTACCCTAACACGCAGAATCCTAAACCAAAATGCTGCGGCCTGGATTCTAAACCCTAAGTCGTAGCCTCCACTTTCTTTGCCAGAATTCCACTCCCTACGGAATCACCCGCAAGCTGACCATAGGCCCCATATGTCATGAAGACTTGGTTTCCATTTCACCTTCTATTGTGAGTTTTCCATTCCGCCCAACGCATATCCTATGCAAGCCCAGATCTTCCCCTAACAACCAATTGAGCCGCCAGCTCTTGGTTGCTTGCCGGCAGCAGCCGCACATGGCGAGAACTGTGCCAAGCCACGGGCTTTGTACCCACAGACTTGGGATATGGGGTTCAGGGTTCCTGCTGGTTAAGGGGGTGGCTCCATCTTTGTTTCGGGGAGGGTGAACCTTAAACAGTATCGAGGAAGCCCCCTACCCGCATGCACGGTTTCTGCTGGGGAGTTCTAGTTAGGGTTGTATGCCCAGGTCTGAGCAGTTACTAGGTCCCTACCACTACCACAGCAGTGACGTCTACTTCTGCTGTTGATACTACAACTTTGTGAGCAGCACCATCACAGCGCCACTGCAACGGAGGCCACCGCCCCCAACCCCACCCCCAGCACCAGGAGCAGCAGCAGCAGC